TTTTTTTTTTTTTTTTTTTTTTTACATTAACAGTTGGCGGTGTGGAGGCCTTGTCCAACCAAAAAGGAATTCAGGGCTGCTGGGCTAAAGGGATTCGTTTTTTCCGTTGCTAGGAACTATAGCTGGAATTTTTACCTCATGTCTACGACTTTTTAATTTTTTTTTTTCTCTGCCTTTGAATTAAAAAACCACATAAGGAGAGAATTTTGTTAGGAAAGAGAGACCCGGTCTGGGGTGGGGGGGGGGGGGGATTGTGCTTTAGCCACCAAGGAGTATCTGGGAAGGTGGGAGGAGCCAGGAGAAAGAGCAGCGGCCTTAGGCCATTCGTTGGCCCTAACGCTAGTCAATCAAACCTGTTCAGCAAATGAGGAGCGACTACAGGCATCCGGGGAACGAAATTAACGGGAGGGGTGTCAGCAAAGGGAGGGGTTCTCCATCCTAACCCAGAAGCCCATTCTGCGTTCGGTACTGCGCCATTCGACTGCAGCTCGTCTCGGCCCCGGTTTATTGCGGCAGAACAGTCCTTGTCGCCAAGGTTCCCAGCCGGCTTCCGCTGCCGCTGCTTCCTGCGTGCCGCCTCCGTGGCCCCGCCCCGGCCGCGCCACCGCCGCTGTCACTGCAGTCCTTGTCGCGGCCGGTAGCCTGTCGCTTGTCGCCGCCGCCGCCGCCGCCGCCGCCGCCGCCGCCGCCGCCGCCGCCGCGCGGGCCTTTGCAGCCGCCTTCAGAGCGTCCGTGAGTCATTTCTGCCCATCTCTGGGTGTGCGATCTCTGTTGTCACCACTTTAAAGAGGTGTGCGGGACTAGCAGCATGGCAGAAGCGGATCCTAAAATGATCACAGAACCTGCCGCCCATGGGGTTGCTGAAGAGGTGATGGCTAGCTCAGCTAGTGATTCTGGGGAAGAATCTGACAGCAATAGCTCTAGCAGTACCTCTAGTTGCAGCAGCAGCAACAGCAGCAGCAGCAGCAGCAGCAGCGGCAGCAGTAGCAGTAGTAGCAGCAGCAGTGGCAGTCAAGTATACCGAAAGAAGAGGGTACCTGAGCC